AGTCGTACCTGAGACAACCAGTACGTAAAGCGGGAAAGTAAGCTGTGTTCCTGTTTCTACACTCCACCTGGGAGGCGCGTTATCGTTCTGAGTAGATTTTTTTTTCTTTAACGTTTGTTTATTTTTGAGAGACAGACACAACACGAGCAGGGGAGGGGCAGAGAATGAGGGAGACACAGAATCCGAAACAGGCTCCAGACTGAGCTCTTGAGACCCGATGTGAGGCTGGAATCCACGAACTGTGAGATGATCTGAGCCGAAGTCGGACGCTTAGCTGACTGAGCCACCCAGGCGCCGCTGAGTAGGTTTCTTAAACATAAACATGTGTATTGAGATGCCTGGAGCCACCACTAAAAGTTACATAAAAATTTATGGCCAAACATTCAATAGATACGTTGAAGTAAAACGCTGGAAACCGTGCAGACAACCCACAAGAAGACAGGGAAGGGGAGGTAGAATCACGAAAAGGACAGAAAAAATGTAAACTGGTAATGAAATGGCACACTTAAAACACGCTGGTCGTTACATTAAACATAACTCTGGGTAGGTCCCCTCGAATTAAATACTTCATCCGGTCCTCGCCACAGCCTTGGGAAGGCGGGTTTTTTTCTCTCCATTTGACAAACAGGCGTGTTGGGGCCCAGGGAGGCCCCTTCCCGAGAGCCCCCTGCGTGCGGTCTGGCTGACCGTACCCTCCGCCTGCTGCCGTTGGGGCCGCTGGGCACCGGGAGGAGGGGCCCAAACTACTCTGCTCAGGTCGAGTGCCCCTGTCCCTGTGTCTCTGCCTCCTCTGGGGTCCCATGGGGAGCGGGGGCCAGTCCGCGGGACTAAGGACACGTGGGGAGTGGGGAAAGTACCAGGGTTTTGTCAGAGGGGCTTCCCCACCTCCCAGCGTTTTGCAGCACGAGACTCAGGTCCCCCGGCTGAGACCCGTCTCAGCTCCCAGAACATACGCGGCTCTGTGCCCGTGCTGGTTCTTGTCGTGAACGAGTCTGAGTTGCAGAGATGGGACAGGACGTCCCAGGACCCGGGGGACAGACAGCTTCAGGTGCTTCCCCTTCCTCACGTCTGAAGACGTGAGCTCAGGAGATGCTGCTCTTCTCGCCGCCGGGTGTCGTGTGGAAAGAGAGCGTGTGCAGAGATGCCACCTTATTGCCACTGTGCGTCCGGGAGCCCGAATGTGGTGGTCGGCGCGTCGCCGGTAACTCTCGTGGAGGGAAATTGGCGTTTCCGTAACTTCTTTGCGCAGGCAGGGAGGACCCGGAGCAGAAGACGAATCCGACTCTGCCCTGACACCGAAGGATAGCGCGGTTTGCTCCACGCGTGACCGCGCTGTCTGGCGTCCAGGCTCCCGCTGGGAAGGCGGGCCACTTAAGTGCTGGCGCTGATGTCGACATCGGGCTGTAGCGTCGCCACCTGAGAAATAAATCGCGCCACAGGCAGAGCGCTTTCGACAGGCGTTTCCTGCTGTGGCGAATAACCCTTGGTACTTTCTAGATGCGAAACGTTCCGGTGGAACGCAGCACGTGGCCTTGCCGTTGGGAGGCTGTTGGTAAAAGGAAGCGAGGGCAGATATTGGGAATTTGGCGGGAGCTTTGTCTTCGGGGGAGGGCCGGGGTTTTCAGACTCCGTGAGAACTCGTGGCCCCTAGCGCTCCCAGGGACGGCCGGAATCATCTCGGCTCAGGAAACGGGAGGGGTGAAAGTGTGAACCGTCTCCCGGGAGACGTGCACGTGGGTCCAGCGGCCTGAGAGCTTCGGAGGCGGTGCGTGCAAAGGGCTCCCTCGGCTCCTCTCGCAGGGAGCCTCCCACGAGCACGGGAGGGTCCCTCGGGAAGCCTCCTGGGGAGCGGGGAGCTGGGCTGTCTGGGTTCAGGTCCTTGCTTGATCATTTCCTCGCCGGGCCACGTCGGGCAGGTTGCTTCACCTCCCTGGGCCTCAGTTTCCTTCTCTGTGAATGGGAGTGAAAATACTGCCTGCTTCGGGGGTGGTTGTGAAGAGGCAGTGGGTCGTGTGTGTGAACCGCTTAGCACAGCAGTCCTTCCAGAACTTGTGCTTGGCTACGGCGAGGATGCCGATGTCTGGGGCTGGGAAGACCAGGCCGGCAGTCTGCTTGCAGAGACAAGAAGGGCGTGTCTGCACGACCTACAGTACAAGGAGGGCTTGGTCGCTGTCCCCCTGGGTCCCTGACCTCCAGTTTATACTCTTTCTGCTGCAGAGACGGTGTCAGTTACTTCTGGAAAGCTCCTTTGGCTCTCTGGCTGTTTCATACCCCAAACAGGGAATTGAAACAGCCCCAAAGCTGTCATGATCCACCAGCTGTCTCTTTATTTTGAGAAGCAAGACTAAAAAATCATGAAGCGTCAGTGCATAATGTGAGACATTATGGAATTAAATTTTGTGGCAGCCGTAAATGCTGTTGAAAAATATTTTAGTTTGGACAATTTGGGGTAAAGTTCACCGAAACTTGTGTCAAATACTTCGAAGAAACAAAAGAGGAAAAGCATTAGTTTGTAAACTAGGAAATAGGAGAGAGGTTAAGCTTCAGGCATGGCTGAATCACGGAGCTGTGATGGGGTCACCAGGAATAGTCTGTCTTTGTCTTTTGTTGCTGCTTGCTTCTGTGTGGGTCCAGAGAAGGTGAACTTTGATTGGGCCTGGGGCACAGGTGGGTGTGTGAATAGTTAGGAGGGAAGCAAACCCCTGGGCACAGGGACCACGCTAATGGGAGTCAGGGAGGCGGAAATGACCTCGAAGTTGTTCCTGGGACACCAAAGCTGGCCGCCGTGGGGGCACTCGGTGGCCTGCCTAGGGGCTGATCGAGAAGCCTGAACGGTAAGGGAAACGGGGAAGGCCACGATGTCAAAGCCGCTCGTCCGTCACCCGCCCGCCGAGGTCTCCGTAGAAACCGGGAAGACAGAGGCAAACGATAGACCCGAAGACGTGTGTGCTTCCCTTTTACCTCGTGTCTGGAACGTCAAGTATTGAGTCGAGGGGTGACGTCAGAAGTAAAACGGGAATGTGTTTGTGGCTGTCCCATTCGTTTCTAGCCTTCGAGAAAGTGAGACTGGCGCAGAAGTAGAAGGGCACGAAGCAGGTGAGAGCCGCCACGCAGAACGTTGCAGATGGCGCGTGTGGGGCAATGATACCGCGTATGTCCCATTCGAGGTGGTGCCGATGATGCGCTGGGAGTGAGGGTGGTGCCATGTCACGTCACGTGCAGAGTGGTGACGGAGACCCGCCAGCGGCGCGGGCGGGGCCGCAGGGGAGGGGCTCCCACACAACCTTGGATTCTGGATGCTGAGGGCCAGGGACGCCGCTAGGCCCTGCGGGTATCAGTCGACCGAGGTGTGTCCGGCAGCCTCGGGACCTCAGCACAAGGTGGGAGGAGGGAGGACAGAGGGGAAACGTACAAACACAGTCATCTCTGGCCGGGATAAGTACTGTGGGGGGGGGC